GGCGGGCGGGAGGGAGGCGGGAGGCTAGCAGAGGGAGAGAGGGCGAGAGGAAGAGGGCGGGAGCGAGAGAACCAGAGAGAAAGGAGAGGAGGGAGGAGGTGCGCCGCGCCATGGTGTCCTGCACGGGGCCGGGGCCGGGGCCGGGGCCGGGCCAGGCTGGGCCATGAGCCGCGCCGGGAGCTGGGACATGGACGGGCTGCGGGCGGACGGCGGGGCCGCCGGGGCGGCCCCGGCCTCTTCCTCCTCCTCCTCCTCCGTGGCGGCAGCGGCGCCAGGCCAGTGTCGCGGCTTCCTCTCGGCGCCAGTCTTCGCCGGGACACACTCCGGGCGTGCGGCGGCTGCGGCGGCGGCGGCGGCAGCAGCGGCGGCTGCGGCCTCGGGCTTCGCGTACCCGGGGACCTCTGAGCGCGCGGGCTCCGCCTCGTCGTCGTCATCTTCGGCTGTGGTCGCAGCGCGCCCGGAGGCTCCCTCCGCCAAAGAGTGCCCGGCGCCCGGCGCGGCCGCCGCAGCGCCCCCGGGCGCCCCAGCCCTGGGCTACGGCTACCACTTCGGCAACGGCTACTATAGCTGCCGCATGTCGCACGGCGTGGGCTTACAGCAGAATGCTCTCAAGTCGTCGCCACACGCCTCCCTGGGAGGCTTCCCGGTGGAGAAGTACATGGACGTGTCGGGCCTGGCAAGCAGCAGCGTACCGGCCAACGAGGTGCCCGCGCGAGCCAAGGAGGTGTCCTTCTACCAAGGCTACACGAGCCCCTATCAGCATGTGCCCGGCTACATCGACATGGTGTCTACCTTCGGCTCCGGGGAGCCGCGGCACGAGGCGTACATCTCCATGGAGGGCTACCAGTCCTGGACGCTGGCCAACGGATGGAACAGCCAGGTGTACTGTGCCAAGGACCAGCCACAGGGCTCCCACTTTTGGAAATCATCTTTTCCAGGTAGGCATGTCATACAAAAAAAGGGGGGAGGGCAGGAGGGAAGGATGCAAGGAGGGAGGGAGAGAGAGAAGGAAAAGAAAGTACTGGGAGTCTGTGCCCTTACTTGGGAGTAGGTGCCTCTCCTCCTTCCCTATCTAGATTAACCCAGTGGAACAGCTGTCCAGTTTGTGTGAAATCTGTAACTTCATCCTTTAATTTAAACTGCCTCTCTCACAATTCTTTTCCTCCTGTGTGTGCGCATAGGCCTGTTTTTCTCCTAAAGTTGAGGGTCTTTGCTGCCCTTTGCTCAGCTTTGGCCCCTCCTCCCCAAAGAGGTGTCAGGGAGTTGGGCCTCACTTTTCAAGGACATGAATGCCCCAGAGTGACCACTAAGACTTCCAAGAGCTCCCAAGCACGCTCCAAACACAGGTACACAAGAAATCAAAGCTTGAACAAACAGCCTGGATATTTTTTTAGAGTCTGTGTATGTTTGCAACCAGCATTTGCAGAAACTGGCCTTATGAGCGTCCCCAACAACCACACCATAAAATCACAGGCCTGTTAAGATGCCGGTTTGAGAAACTATGATGATCCATCAAATTGGCCTTCACTTTGAAGTGTAAATAATCTTTCTTTAATAATGTGTAAATAATATGTCTGTGTAAATAATAATGAAGTGTAAACAGCCTGACTTTCTTCATTCCCTGTACCCCCTCCAAGTATACACACAGTCTTCAGCTGGGTGCTCCAAATATCCTGGTCTAATTTTCCCGTGCTGTTTTTTATACCAGGGGATGTGGCCCTAAATCAGCCAGACATGTGTGTCTACCGTCGGGGGAGGAAGAAGAGGGTACCCTACACCAAACTGCAGCTCAAAGAACTGGAGAACGAGTATGCCATTAACAAGTTCATTAACAAGGACAAGCGGCGGCGGATCTCGGCTGCCACGAACCTATCCGAGAGACAAGTGACCATTTGGTTTCAGAATCGAAGAGTGAAAGACAAGAAAATCGTTTCCAAGCTCAAAGACACTGTCTCCTGATGTGGCCAGCTTGGCCACAGAGATTTTAAATGCTTTCAGTTGTCTCCAAAGGACCTTTGAAAAGACTTGAATATGTATTTAATTCCCCCACTACCCTGCCAGTGATGGCACATTTTGTGAATTGTTTTTTCTCCTCCCCTTATCTGGCTCTAAAACCTTTTGCTGCCCAACCTGACTGTGTAGTTCTGTCTCTTACTTGTTTATTATTGATTTTGCTCTTGTCTAGGTTTATTTTTATGACTTTTTAATGTTCTGTTTCTCCCTCCAGGCCAGTATAAAGGACTTGAAGTATTTTTGAATAATCCCCACAAGTGAATTTCAGAAGTGCCATTCTGGTTTTAGGGTTTTTTTTTTAAATCACTTTTGATGCCTGTTTCCAGAACTGATTATGTTCATAATCCATTAGGGCAGAATGATTTGCAGTCACTCATATCCTGTGATTGGGTAATTGAATTATTAGCTCTTAGCAAGTCTCCCTGAGGCAAATGGAAACATCTCTGGGCAAGCAGTGTTCTTAGGGTCACTGGTAAAGTCTAAAAACAGGAGGCTGGAGGTACTGTGATGGCTTTAAAAGAAGCTACCTTATTAAATAGGGTTTGTATCAATATTGGAGTGAAGACAATCTTTCTGACTTTGGGTCTTTCACTTGCTGTTGTATGTGTTTAATACACCTTGTAGACTTATGCTTTTATGATCTTTTATTTGGATATAATGTGTCCTGTAATGTGGATGCCTTCACTTCTCCAGCTCTAGTTGGAGATATTTAAATGGCTGTACTTGGCAGAGTGACCCATGGATGATATTAATGCATCCCCTTCTCTTTGGCCTCGGGTCTGTGGCATTAAAATTGAGGGCCGTCTCTTCAGTTCCCTGAAAGAGGCTGAATCACTGTGGCCGCGGGTGGGAACTTTTATTCAGTACCCAATGAAGAACCTGACTCTGAACAAATGTGTTGGGCTCTCATGGAGCTTTAAAACATTTAACAAATGCAAAATATGCAGAGCTCTGATGTCCAGGAAGAAAAAAAAAATGTTTCTGAAAGCGGTGATAAATAACTGCTTCTAAAGTGCTGCATATTTATACAACGGAGAGACTATTTTTGTAGATGCAATGTCTGTGAGCTGAGATACATGGACAGTGCTTCAGGCATTTAAAAATCATTTTTTACTCCTAGGGAGATGCAAATAAACAGAACTCTCTTGTTTCTTCTGAGTCTTTATACATTTGTTTTCTTTCCCCAAGCTTGTGTTGCCTCTAGAAACTGTTCTTATTTATTATAAATCTTATTATGCTGAACACTATGGTGTTCCTCACAGATGAAGGAAACTCAACACCAGCCCTGGTCTCCGAAACATCGAGGCTCCCACTTCCATTACCCTCCCCACCCCTCTTTTTCCCATGGCTTTAACATAGTGATATCTTTAAATGAGGATATAATTTGTGGTGTCTAAAATTATATTTTTTACCAGATCAACTCAAAAATATTCCAATAAAATTCTGCTTCTTTTTCAAAAAATTATCAGTTTATTCAATAGTTTTATTTTTTAAACCAATATGTATGTGTGTGCCCAGGTATTGGAAAACGTACTCACTTGGAGGTTTTCTACCTAGAAAGGCCATTATAAATATCTATTCTAGGAAGGTCTTGAAATTAGTCATATCCATATTTGGCAATTGAAAAAGAAACATTTCAGGCTTATCCCTTATCGCCTTCTCCTGGCAGACTGCACACAGCAGTTGAAGACTGAAACCATAATTATACACCCTAAACCTCTAGACGCAATTTTTAGGCACTATGAACTTTCTTTCTGAGGGCTTTTTGCCACTCGGAAATGGCCGCTAAGGAACTAAATGAATGCCCCGTCATTAGTGCTCGGGCGCAATGAATTCAATGGTTGCTAACTTTTGGGTATGTGAGTCAAATTCAGATGTGTACAACCTCACACAATATGTAAACTCTTCTGGCAGGAGGATTCCCTTATGGATCTGCCAAAGAAAGTGCAGAGACCCAAGGTTCAGAGCTACTTTCGTTTTCTCTGCCTCGGCTTGATTTCTTTCATATCTTGCAACCGGCTGCGAGCAAGCAACTTCATTTTAATTGAAAGAGACAGACAGAGAGAAAGAAAAGTGACCGTAATTCAATCTCTGGAGAAGAAGTAGCCTCTGAAAAGGGGGCTACGCGGTCCTGACCTTCCACTTCGGGAAGAATTAACATTTTCTCTGTTTTCCTCACAAAATGTGTTTTCATCTGAAACGGGCCTGTTTTTCCTTCTTCTCCAACGTCGTTTCCCCTCTTCTTCTTCTTTTTCTTCTTCTTCTTCTTTTTTTTTTTTTTTGTAAATTCCAGACTCCAGGGCTGCACCCCATTTTCCAGGTTCATTTCTGAGGTTTCCCGTCGTGGATGGGGAGGATTGCCTAGAGGTTTTCCATTCATCAGTAGTTTGCGGGTCAGTTTTCCCCCACCTAAGTGAAACAGAGAGGTTTACTGAAGATTAAAACTGGGCTGAAACCCTCTCCATTGGAATTTGAATTGACGGCTAAATCGATAACAGATGAAGACTTTCTTACTTATATGAATTCCTTTTATATTCCAAATTGAGGAGGGAGGAGCGGAGCCGGTCGGTGGCCGAAGGGTTGGAAGGGAGGCCAGCGAGGCGAAGGGAGCTTCGGGGAGAGGCCTTTGCTTCGGTGGAGACTGAAAGGCCGCAGGGACAGCGGCTCCGAAACCTGGCAGGTTTCGAGCGCCACTGGTGGAGAATCAAGGCCCGCGCGCTTACGCGTGATTCAAGAGGTGAAGGAGGCTTTGGAGCCGGGACGCATTGCCAGACAAAGGGGCGGCCGCGACGCTTCCCCGTGTCTGGCAGGCCGCCGGGTCCCTCTGGCTCCTCTGTCACGGCCAACCTTGCAGCCACTATCTCTGGCTTTCCGAGACGCTCAGCCATGCCTGGTAGCGGGCTGTGATCGCACGGGCTGGCGACCCCAAGCCAGCTGCGCCGCCCTTCACTGTTGATCTTGACCGTGCGGCTGCGCCTCGCCAGGCGTGGAGCTCGCTCGCCATCTCCTGGGCAGTTGGCGGCACTGGCAGAGCTTGCCGTTTATCTCCGCGACCAAATCTTCCTTTCCCATTCTCCAGCTCAGCAGCCAAGAATCCTGCCCCCTCCCCAACTCGCCTCCCTCCCTCCCTCCCTCCCAGTCCCCAGTTCCCAGCTCTAAAGTACCATTTTGTTTGCTGGACCTCGGAAATAAAAAACCCAGGAGATGAGGTGGGACACCTGGGCATCATCTATGCCAAGGAGAAATAAGAGTCTAGTTCTAATCTTTTCTATTTCTATCTTAATTCCTTATATTTCTAGTTCCATAGGACAAGCCGCAGCTATGCAGCTGCCTAAGGGTCTGTAGAAGACACCCGTGGACTTGGAAATACTGGAGAATCGCTCTACAGTACTAGATGGGAGGATGGGTGACTGCAGGGACCCCTTGGAACTGGGGCTTCAGACCTAGAGAGGCTGTAGCTCCTTGAAAACAGGGCGTTTCCCAAAATGAGACTAGGTTCCCTAAATCCCTAGGAACTGAAGTTGCAGCTTGTGCCTACACCCCCATGAAAGGACAGGGAATGGAATACGTCTCTGATTTTGAGTTCCTAAGGAAACTGACAGAGCCCTGAGGAGACCAGACTGGCCCATTCCCACCACCTACCCCCACCCCCTACCCCCGCCCTATAGCAGGAGGAAGAGGTCGATTGCGTTCCCCAGAGCCGCCCAATTGGTCGCCATAACTCACACAATAAAGTCGCAGCGCGGTGGTCAGCCTTGCCCTCCGGCGGCGCCTGTGTGGTCTCTGTGCCGGAGCCGGCGGTCTAACCAATTCCAGCTTGGCGCGCGGACCGCGAGGCGGCCTTCAGCCTGGGGCGGGCGCCAGTCACGGGGTTGCTGGGGGTCTTGGGGCCGGAGGCAGGAAAGGAGGACCCTTAGCCTTCTGGCCACACTAGACTGGAGGGCCTGCGGCGGCGGCTGCCATACTGCTCCCAGCGAGGGAGCGCAGCCCGTTGGCCTCTCTGTTCGCCAGACCTCCGAACCCGCCAGCAGCCTGCGCGCCCCTGGAGGCGCTGAGCATAGGAACGCTGCTATCCCGCTGCCTCGGTGTGCCCGGCTGTTTCCAGCCAGTGGTTCTGGCTCTTCTGTCCTTCCACACCAGGTCAGGGAAGCTTGTCCTGCGTGTCATGGAGTGGATGAACACCTTGGAGTTCTGGTTTGCAGACTGTAGTCGCCAAGGCGACTCCCGGCAATGAAAGGAATGTAGCCTTTGGCCGCAATTGGCCAATCAAGTAGCCCTGGTTTCCGAACTCCATGGACCTGGATGGTGACTTTTCTAGAATCAGAGGGCTTGGCCATGGAGAAGCACACCAGGAGTGGTGTGAAGCCCCCTTCCTGGTGCCAAGCTTGGGCAGAGTTTGTGATGCATTTCTCCTTTATCAGCAAACTAAGTCTGCAGCCTGGGACCCAGGGCTCAGGCAGCACTGGGTCTTCACTGCCAATCACCCATGTAGAATCCTGTCAAGTGGGATGAGGGGGTGAGGAGTAGCTTTGCTCAGGCCTACAGACAGAGCTCGTGGCCCCACCAGAGCAAAGTTCTCTCTGGACAAGCCAAGAAGTGCGCTGACCTAGAAAAGGCCTCAGCTGCAACTTAAAGCTGGTAGAAGAAAGCCAGCGGAAGACAGGAGCACAAAGCCAATCAAGACCAAGAAGGATCCCAAGGGACACTGAGGCAAGGGCACCCGATGCCGGATGCCCTCAGCTCTTGACACCAACCCAGAAATTCAGAGGCTTCACCTTCACTCAACATGCCTTGGCTCTGCCTGGCAGCCTCGCCCTTCGCCATCAAATATTGCGGGTGTTATGACAATACCCTGAAGGGGGGGAAAACGGGTCGGGGGATGTAGGCGGTGCTGAAATGACCGGCTTTGAAGAACCTGCAGGCAAAGTTTCGTCCAATCGTCTGAGCCTGTCCTCTTATTCCCGGTTGTAACTAAATACTGCTGCGACCGCAGCCCAAGCCCTTTGTTGGAGATGTGTGAGCGCACTCTCTACAGAGCGGGCTATGTGGGCTCGCTTCTGAATCTGCAGTCGCCCGACTCCTTCTACATTTCCAACCTACGGACGAATGGTGGCCACTTGGCCGCGCTTCCCCCCATCTCCTACCCGCGCGGCGCGCTGCCCTGGGCCACCACGCCCGCCTCCTGTGCCCCAGCGCAGCCCGCCAGTGCCACCGCCTTCAGCAGCTTTTCCCAGCCCTACCTGGCTGGCTCTGGGCCTCTCGGC